TCTGAAGAAGAGAACATGCCTGACTTCTGAACATGCCTCAGAAGGAAGACCTACTTAGTTCAATGGAACTTATTGCTAGGAAAGGAGAAGACAACATTGACAATTGCACCATGGCCACACCCATTGACACCAAATGGGTACAGCCATGATTCTTTACATCAGCTGTTTCCCAGCAGACATGCTGGAAGAACGATCTTGATACATCTGCCAAGAAGTGATTTTGCTGTGTGTGACCTCTTCTCACTGGAATGCAGCCCACATGCAACAAAACCTTTTCACCTGCTGCCCTGTACCTTCTTCCACTGGGGAGAAGATGTAGGGTAGATAAGGCTGCCTAACTGACTCAATGGCTGGAGGAGCCATTAGCTCAGCCAGATGGTTTGTGTGAACTGTCACACAACCAAAGCATTCAAGACTAGAATATCCACAGAACTGCACTCTTACATCCTGCCTGGTGCCTTGGTGACACTGAGCAAGCTCATTGTCCTTTTCTCCTTTGCCATCTCCTCCAAGAAGCAATGATGTTGGTACACAAAAGAGCTAAGCATCCCTCTTAGTCGTCCCCATCTTGCCATCTCAGGGAGAGGGAAAACACTAGAGTAGACGAGATGCAAAATGGAAGGCACTAATTTAAGAGGCAGACAGAATGGAGGTCTCTCTTCTAAAATGGTGCCTAATTACCAGGGGTGCTTTTTAAACTGATTGGAAAATTAGACAAACTAACACACCGAATAAACAGTTAGGATCTTTGTAAAAGGAATTTAAGTAGACAGCAGCCCACTTTGGAACTGTGTCCAAAATGAGAGCAAGCAAGTTTGCTACAAACAAAGCAGCAGCAAGCTTGCTGGTTCCTGCCACCTGAGCACACCTGCTGGGGATAAAGAACCCAGAGAGGCCCCATGTCTGCATTCTTAACCATGATGTGCAAACAAGGATTTCTGGGTCATGTTCACCTAAATGCACTTACAAAGTCCCTCAAAGCTCCATTTAACCAGGGTCCCAGACATGAGAGGCAGTATAAGCATTCAGCTGAAGATGCTTACACTGCGCTCCCTTGGCTCCCTCCACCACTCCAGTAGCATCCTCTTTGGCAATGCCTGAACAGCACTTAGCAGAGAAATAATCTAGTTAGGTCTAATGTGCAAAGGCACAACTGTCCTGAAGACCATGATCAGCAACTCCATCTTACTATCTTTTCAGTGGGCTCAAAACAAAAAAGGTGATGGAAGTTCTGAACACTGGCAGTAAGCACTGTAATACTGGGAGATAAATCAGGGTCAGACTAGATGGCCCAGGACACCCCTTCTGACTTGATCTGTTTCTATGTTTCCTGTTCAAAATGCAGGTTGACATTACTAAGCCAAATGACTCCAGCTTTCAATGGTGCACTTAAAATCAAAACATTGAACAAAAGGAAGAATATGTGGAAGAGGAACTATCAAAAGATGCTCTACCCAGGACTTGAACTGCACATTCAGCAGCATCTGGAACCTTGACCTCAAATAGGACTCTGATCTTATTGGAAGCCCAGAATGTAAAAATTGGTCAGAATGCCTCCCCAGTTACTCCCCTTTAGTCTGTGCAACATATAGAACAAAATAACATGGTTATAAGTTTGACAAACTACTGAAAATTTAATCAAGCAGCTCGATCTGTGTGTTCAGTGCTTATTTTCCATTTTCTGCACTTTGAGAGGAGGAGGCTGAAACAGTCTACTGTGCAAAGAGAAAAGCAGTTAATACACCTGCCTGGCCAGGAAGATTGTTTCTCTCTCATTTAGAAGTTTAGAAGAAGATAAAGAAATCCCCTTAGGAATTTTGCTGCACAAAATCTGTTTATTGCAGCAAGAGCAAATATCACTAACAACTGTGCAGCTAATACATCCAGTTGTGCAAGACAGCTGTCAAATGTCATAAGCCTATAAATTATTTTTACTTGCCTGTTTTTTAGGGGTAATAAAGGACAGATGGAGCTGCCTCTGCCTATCCTTTGCCAGCCTCTTTTGTAAGTAAAAACAGGCGTGCTGCACATTTTTCAAGCTGGGAATGAGCACTTCCTGCCTCCTCCAAACCTCACCTCTTTTTAGGTTGCCCCTCGTGCATGCATCAGGGTTGAAGCGACCTGTGCCGCTGCTCCCAGTAAGGTGCTTTGTCTCTGCGGCATCCAGCACACAGGCCCAGCGGGTTGGCAACAGCATTGGCCTCTACACTGGTCTATTTCCATGTGGGCTGGCAGGAGGCATGGATCACCCCCATGCTTTGCCACCCCTCTGCTGTGTTGATATCCTAGCTGCACAAGAGGTTCACCTGCTATAGGTCCAGCACAGGGAAGGAGGAGCTCCACTGTTGGTTTCTAACCTGGATGCAGAGAAGGAGGCTTCCACTCCCATGCAAAACAAAGTGGGCTTCTGGGAGAAGAGAGGAAGTACTTCAGACCTCTCCTGGAAGTCCACTACCATTTTAACTCAGTAGGGATATGGACCCATCACTTCTTTTCAGTCTAGAGCAGAAACACAGTAAAATTCCAGAAGACGGACAATGCATCCTCCTCCTTTTCTGACAGTCTACTCAGCTGGGTAAAATTACTAGTCTTCTATGGCAACCAGGCGAGCAGTTAAAAACCAGGTTATATAAAGCTGCTGAACTGAAGAATTAAATTTATTTGGTATATATTTGGCTGGCACTGCTCTATAGCAGGCAATTTTGGGAGGTCTGGGGGCCATTTTCATCCCCTGGCCATTCCTCTTGCTGTGGGCCAAGCAGCCTCCCAGGCAACCCAAAATGAGTTTTTAAAATATGCGTATTTTTGAGGGGGGTTGCCAAAAACATAAAATTTAGCTTACAAGCAACTTAAGTTGTCCTTTTGAGCTCTGCCCAAAACTTAAGGGGGTAAGAGCGCAACAGACAACCGTGTGAAGCCCTGATGCTGCTATATACACTGAAATACTACAGCAGAAAGAACAGTATACAGCTGCACTACTGATGAAGACAGTAAGCCTGTGGACATCATTGCAAATCAAAGAGACTCCTGGAAAGGATTGCTATAATCAAGCTTGGAAGGTATTCCTGTTTCATACTTGTAAGGCAGGATACCTTGGCCTTGGTGCAAAGCAGCTCTGTGTACATGAAGGCTAAAGGCCTAAACACAGTTGGAACTCTCTTTGAAGTTCCTGCCACAACAGCTCACATTACCAAGGAGGCATGCCAATCTGCAATTTAAATAGCAACTTGCCTCTTTAGCAGTGGGAGATACTGCAGCCAAAACAAAAACAAAAACCAAAAGACCTGAAGCAAGCTCTGGTTTCATGCAAATGCTTCCTCTGCATGCAGAGCTTCTTTGCATTTTATTCTCCATATGTAAAACCATTTAAGGCTGAGAATCACCAAGGAAGGAACCCTGGAGACTTTCTAGGCTTCTTACCTGCTGAACTGTACTGATAATTAAGCTGTGTAAAGGAGAGCAACCTAAGACTACTTTTCTCTACTTTCAATACCACTTTTTCGTCCAAATCCTGTCAATTTGATCACAATTGTAGAAAAAGTGAAGCACAGTGGTAATTATATTTCCTTGGAGCAGAATTAAACAGCCTGCAACATATCTTAACAGACTTCCTAACTTACTTTCCATACAGCTTCCTTTTGGCTAATGTACAACCAAGCATGCAACAATTGCAACCATTTCAGGGGCTGTCAAGTCCAACTTCATGAAACTAAGTAAACTTTTACTGAAAGATCAGAATTAAATACCTGTCTAAATGATATTCCAAAGAATATTTCTACAGCAGGACTGGATAACTTATTTTAGCCTTGAGGATGTTTGGCATGGTACTAGAGAGTGGGACTGGATGCCATACTTGCTGAGAAAAAGTCTCTGCTGAAGACTCTGCCTGCCTATACTCAGCATGACATACATAAACAAGATAAACCTTGAACTATCTTCCTTTCTGTTCCTTCTTCTCCCTACCCTCCAGTACCACCTGTCTGAACTCTGAACTGGACTTGCCTGCTACCTTCTTGAGCAAAGGTTAGTGGAGTGGAGAACCTTTGGTCATTTAGCTGGAGGCTTTCATAGGAACTGCCCAAGATGTCATGGTACAGGACAGTCTGGTGCGCAGATATATTCTGCTAACAGCTAAACTCTTTCTCACTTTTAAAAAACTTGCTGTTTCTATCCTTAGGACTCAAGGTGGTAAGGAAAGATGCTAATATTCCCATCAACTTAGTCCATCTCTTCATCTTACTGTCCACAAAAATAAAGTTCCTCATCTTTTTATGTAGTTTAAAAACTGTTCTCCTTTTTTCTCTACAGAAGCTATACTCAGCTTCTAAGTGTTCTTCGGGCAACATTCCGTATAAATTTGAGCACTGTTTATTTCTCACTATTTTCATTTCTATTCCACTTTCTGGTCTAAAAGCCAAAGATAGATAATTTGTCCTTTTCCCTTGAATGGGAATTGTTCTGCAGTTCGTTAACACGCCCAAAACGTCACCAAACCTAACCAGCAAAAAAATAAAACTCTTCTGTAATAAACGTGGATTCTACTTTTACAGATACCCACTTATTCCTTCAGTTTGCTCTGTCATTCACTATAACCTCTTCTGGCTTAATATTCATTTCTTTAATTTAGAAACAAAATTCAGTGACGGCATGGAGCATCTCTATTTAATAACAAGCCCATGAACTGTCTTCATGCTAGCTGCATTTATCCTGCTAATTTACCAAATATGTCCATCAGTTCAGTGGGAACCCTTGAGATTACAATATGGGGAAAGGAGCGCATATTCTAGGGAGCTGGGGAACATATAAAATAGCCACACAGTTGACCACACACAACTGCATCAATTCAAAATTAACAGGGAAATTTTTGAAAGGAGAATGTTGCTAAGCCTATTTTCTCCAAGGTTCATTTCCTTGCGCTTTTGCCAGTGACACCAACAGGACAGATGCAGACTACAAACAAACCACATGAAAACAAAAGACAGACAAGCCTGGTAACTTACCCCTCCTGACAACTTAATCACCCTGACTTTGGTGCCGACATGGGGCCCATCTCCACTACCACTGTTTGCCCGCTGCATGACAGTCCTTTTCACCCCAGGCTTCAGTTCCTGAGGTTGACCTTGCACCGGTGCCACCCGAGTAATCTGAGATGGGTTCAAGTGCACTGCAGCAGGCTTTGTTTGCAGCCCTTTATAAGGCAGCTGGAGCTCATTTTCGGGCATTGTCCTAGTCTGCCTTAGCTGCTTTACTGTTTTTATTTGCTGTCCTTGGAACTGGGCATTATCTCCAGCCTGCAGAACGTTTGTGGGCTTAGGCTGAACAGCTGGTGGGGCTGGAACTACTGGTTCTTGCTTTTTAACCATCAGCCTATACTTCACATTTTGGCGGGGCAGTACACCAGGAAGGGGAAGCAAAGGGTTTCCATTGGTGGACAGTTGTGAAGTCTCCTCCTCCTGCTGTTGCACTGAAGAACTCTGCTGCTGCTGCTGTTGCTGCTGCTGCTGTTGCTGCTGCTGCTGTTGTTGCTGCTGCTGCTGCTGCTGCTGCGCGAGCCTTTCAAGCAATTCTCTCTTTCGAGCCCCAGCCTGAAGCTGCCGCCTCAGCTCCTTTTGTTTCAGAATCTCTTCCCTTAGACGTTTCTGCTCCTCTATCTTCAAGCGGTAAAGTCTGGTTTCTTCATCTTCATCAGGAAACTACGGAATAGAAAAAGAAACAAGTTATCAGGAAGTAGCCCCTGTCCAGTTTTGTAAAAATGTGTCCTAAAGAGATAGAATGAATACAAAAGCAGGCTTCCCAGGAAGCATTTTATATGTAACTGAAAAATGGTCCCAATGGTTTCAGTGATACAAATCCAAAAAAAAGTTTATTAGCTATTAATTAGCCAATCTACAAAGAGTCAAAGAATATATAACTCTAGCTTGAACTTGAAAAAGAGAGAAAAATCAGAATGCTGAAATTGAAGCCTTCCAAATCAGAACTCATTTAGAAGTTACTGAAACCAATTAAACTATTACTATAATTCAAGATCTCAAAATATTGTTTCAAATGGAAGCAGTAACAATACAGAGGCAGCCTACTGTCACATAGGTTTTATCTTGCTCTTTTCTGACAAACTAACAAAAGGTAGGGTGGTAAATGACCTGAAAGGCCCTGATTAGAACTATTGATTTTTCTTACAGAATTTTCAGCCTGATCTGAAACTCATTTGTCACACAATAATTGGTTATAATGAACAGCACAAGTCAATCTCTCTGACCTTGAACTCATGCACTCTCTTCAGAATTAAAATGTTGCCAAACGCAGTGTTGGAATATTAATGGTATATCAGGAATAGCTTTAATATTCCAGCCTTAAGCTTTTCCAAAAGCATTATACCCTTTGTGTCACAAATAACCTTTTCTAAAGTGCCTAAAACTCTGGCAAAAAATGCATCTTTACAGGAAACTATGAAAAAAATCACAGCAATTTCTTTTAAAAAACTGCTTCCAAGAGCTGCTCCTGAGTTAGCAGCTTCAACAGAATGCACATTTTTATGGATAAAGCAACGAACCAAGAATTTGCTTCATTTTAATCATACAACAGTTCTCACAGTCCCATGAACCCACCAACTTAGATTTGCTTTATACAGCATTTCCTATACACCTCAGAACAGATGATTTAGCAGCTTCATCCGATATAGAGACAAAACAGATCCGTAACAAAGGCAAGCTCTGTATGACTATAATCTGCTATCCTTTTAGAAGTTACCTCAAACTTGCAATGTCAAAGCCAATTTTAATTTACCACCATATAGACCTGTTTTCCTCTGTTTTACCCTTCATTCATGCAGATACCCTCTTCCTCTTGTTCTTCCTTTGCCTGTTAGCCTCTTTCCTTTCAAGATATGTAAACAAAGAGTAATACTGGTGTGACAAGTAATGTGACCCACCTACTGGTCTCAGCCCAGCTGTTCCTGAAAAGCACCTAGGAAGCCATTGTTAGGAGATGATTCAAAAATAAAACCTAAATAAAAAATAACCTAACAAAGAAATATATGATAAAGAGAACCAAGTTTGGCAAGGTCTCCATGTTGAAGAAAAGCCTTGTTTGTGGCATACTGGAATATGAATTACCTATGCTTGTAGTTAGAGGGAAAATGTAGGAGTAGTGTGACATCCCCTGAACTACTATAAATACAGGAGTACTTTAGCTACCCTCATCATTCAAGTCTATTTTTAAGGGATCACTGTAATGAGCGACTATATAGTACTTGGCCAGCAAAGCAATCTTATGGACCCAAGCCATAGGATTGCTCAAATTCTTAGCCCTGAGCTTTAAAAACAGGGCCAACCTCAGATCTGGCAATCCACACTCAGATTCTTTCCCACAATGCAAAGCAGCACTGGAGAAGGGACTTGGTGGATGGTATGACGGATGATGCGAAAGGGAGGATATATCTTGGCAGTGCCTCAGCTTCCTCGTCCATTGATTAACAAATTAACCTACCTTTGTCAGCATCCAGTGGATGGTGCCTCCTGGGTGACACTCCCCGCCCCCAAATGTGGTGAATAGCAGCGTAATGGTCCAAAGTTCTGCTTGGAGGCTTGGAATAGACAGTCAGTGGCTGTCACTTCCAGGATTGCGAAAACAGTGGGGGAATTAATATCAGAAAAAAGCCATGGCAACTGCAAAAGGTGTTGCAGTCATTCTGAGGAGGGGAATTAAGTTTAGTCCTGCTGCTGAGTACCATGGGAAAGCTGCAAGAGGGCTGGGAGAAGAAGAGGGAGGACAGTAAGCCAGCGCAAGCCCAATTAGCTCTGAGGCACACTGTATGTCGTTCCACAAGGAACCCACCTTGCACAGCTTAGTTGCAAGGTTAGCTGCCTTGTCAAATGCATCCACTGACTCTCAGTTTTCTAAAATGACAAACAGCACACAATAGAATAGGATGTACTACTTCCCCCTTCCGCAAACCCAAAATTTCTTTAATTTGATCTCTGCAGTCATGTTCAGCATGCTCTCAACATTAGGTAGTGGATTTTATGCTCTACTCAAGAATTCCAGGGTGAAAGAAATTCATGACGTGACTCGATGGAAAGAATTCAGGGGCCTAAGGCTCCAACCCTTGCCTGAAGCCTCAGCAACTAAAATCTAGTAGGGATCCACCTTGGCACACTGCTTTCTTTCACACTTTGTAGGTACACAAGCACAGCTTGTTATTTCCAATCAGAGAAAAGAGGAAGAATCCTTATCCCCATCAGTCTCAGACATCTCATGCCCTTCATCCCACAGTGGAGGAACGTGCCAGATGTGTTGTGCCAACCCACCTAAAAAACGTCCAGCTGATGCCTCAACTGCAACGGGTTTTCCGCAGGAAGGCCTGCCACCTCTGGTTTGGCACTGTAAGAATGAGCTGCAGTGCAGTGAACCCTGGACTCACACACTCCTTCCTTTGTAAGTTGAGGTTGCCTTGTTTTGACTTTTTTTTTTTTTTTTTTTTTTGCTGCTGGCCAAAATCTCTACAACATTCCTAGGTACAGAATGTCCCTCTGAATGACACCCTAAGGTAGCACTGGTCCAAGGGACATTTTGGAGAAAAAAAGGGCTGCCTCATGGACAGACTATGAGGCAGCCATCTTGCCCCATTCCCAGGACCCCAAAACTGCTCCTGGGAATTAAACCACATCATCACAAAGCATCACACTGGGGAATTTTGACCTCAGGAATGCTGCTGGATGGCTGTTAATGGCAAGGCTCCCTGCTCTTTTTCAAAAGTCAAATCAAACAGAAAGAAGGTCATGCTGGATTGAAAAGTTGCAAAGAATGCTTAGTGACCCTGTGTAAATTATTCAAGAAATTCAAACTGATCTGGGGAAGGAGCATTTCTGCCCCAGTTCTGCAAAATGGGAGGGGGAGGAGCCAAATTTTTTGGCCCATCTTTAGCTAACCATTTTATCAGAAGAAGGCTACAAATGGGCACAGCATCCAGTTAGTACGACTTCTTCCTACTGGCACTAATTGGCACAGTTTTACAGCTGTATAAGATGCCTCTGAGGAACTGAACAACCATCACAAAAACTGGTGCCTGGATAAACCATAGCCTTGAAATTGCCACCAGACCCTTAGCTGTGTTTTCTGGAACAGACTGACAAGGCTTGCTGTCTGAAAATGGCTACACTGAGAGATCCATTTATGATAAAAGCATAAAGAAATTGACTGGAGATCCTTTACCTCTGGCTCCGGTTTGGTCTCTGCTTTAGGCTGTGCCACTGGCGTGAGTGCTCTGGGTTTTATCTCAGTTCTGCCCTGTTGGGTCTTGACACCTGCAGGAGGCCTCATGGCAGGGGTGGCACTGGCAATGGGCTTCACTTGTGCAGCCGGCGTTGAGGTCCTTCGGTTGTTTGCAGCCTCAATTGCGTGCAAGGGCGCAATCGGCAGTTCACGTAAGTTGCTGTTCCTTGGAGCAGGTGACTGAAGTTGCTGATTTGGACGCTTTACAATGTTCTGCGTGGGTGTGTTCTGAAAGAATAATTGAAAATACTCCTGATACTGCTGAGTTCTTAGTATCCAGTATACAGTAAGTTTTTGGCTACAGTACCATAGAGGACAAAGGTTGACATGAGGTTCTGAATGGAGGCTAGGAATCTGAATTTTTAGTGGCCATTTCAATGGCATATGCACATCCCCTTTGTAATGCTGACTGCCATTATAATAGGCCTGGATAGGCTAACAGGACTGGACTCTTTGAAAAGGAGAGAAGAGGAAGGAGCAGAACTAATATCCCAATGGCCTTCCTAAGAAAGTGACTTTTCCCAGAACTCCATTCCTACTATGGAAGTGAAAGTATCAACTATTCACCTGCTGCAGGACAAAGAAGGTAAAGCTGAACCAAGACAGAATAATACTAAATGGTTTGAAAACATTTTAGCCAGACCAGAGCAAAAAGACATATATGCTGCTCAACAAAGTTACAGGATTTGTGACAAGAGATTAATAAATGTAGCCAGCCTGAGATGCAGACATAGCTTTCCGCAGGTGCCTTAACTGGCATATGGAATTGTCTGTCCTACTAAGTCCCAGTCTCTCTTCTTTTCAAATCCTTCCACACAAACCACACTGGAACGTTCCTCCTGGACTACTCTCATTTCTTTGCTGCATTTATCCCTGCTAATTAACTTCCTCAGTCCCATGGTCACAGTGTGTAAAACAATTTTTGCCCTATCTGTCTTGTCTTAACTGTGAGACATTAGGTGGGGCTACCTCTTGAATGCACACTTTAATTTAGTGCGGGGGGTTGAGAGTGTTCAAGAAGTTGAAAGCAATACCATCAGGAGGCCAAAATAGTCTCATTAGGCTGGTCTCCGAGCAGGGTCACCCAAGGCGGAATAGTCAAGGCTGAGACACCAAACTAACATGCATCCACCTTCTTTAGGAGTAATGGTCACATCATCAAAAAGAGAATATATCTGATTAATAATGATGGGGGTAGAGAAACCTCTGAAAGGCAACTACTGGGCAGCAGTGGCAGTTGAGAGCAACACTGGCAGAGCGTCTTTTGCAAACAATGGCAGTGATGCTTAAGGAGGATATGGTAATCCATTTCTGAATTTTCTTACCTTGAAAATCCTATGAGGAATCAATTCAAAATGAAGCAAGAAATACTGCCAGAAGATGAGAACCCCCCCAGGATGTAAGCACTTTACAAACTACTGGGGAAGGGCAAAGGTCAAATATAAGTAGCACTACCACTAACGGCACTAATGAATCAAGCCCAAAAGGAACTCTAGTGGCTGACACGAACATAAGTGAAAGGAAAATCCAGTGCTGCACAACACATACAACTGGGGCATGGAATGGGAGAAGTATGAATCCAGACAAACTGGAAATCATACAGCAAGAAATGGAAAGAATGAACATTGCAGTATTTGGTGTGAGCAAACTAAGGTGGACTGGAATGGGACATTCACAATCAGAAAAACACAAATTATTTTACTCCAGAAATGACAATACTGAGGCAAGTTGGAGCACAGGCAATAAGAGGCTATAAGGCAAAGTCCAACCAAATAATGTCAATCAGAATTAGTGGAAACCCTGACAACATAACCGTAATTTAAAATATTGACACAGTTTATAAATTCTAAAATAGACAGACAGACAGACTCTATGCTCCAACAACAGATGCTGAAGAGAAGAAATGGAACCTTCTATGCAGGTGTTCAAGAGGAAATTGATAATACACCAAAACATGACATGGTACTAATCCTAGGTGGTTGGAAGACAAAAGTAGGAAACAACAAAAACTCAAATTTGTAGAAAAATTTGAACAAGAGTTAGAAATGAAGCAGGAGAATGACTCATAGAATTCTGTGAAGCCATTAATCTGTTTACTGTAAATATAAACTTCAAACAACCACTTAAATTGTATACATGGACTTCACCAGATGGCCAATACAGAAACCAAATACAGTGGTACCTCGGCTCATGAACACCTCAGTTCACGCCCAAATCGGGTCGTGAACAAAAATTTGATAAAAATTTTTACTCAGGTCGTGAACTCTGCATTGGGTGGCGACCGCAATTGTGGCCATCCCCCCCGCCCCCGAGAGGGGAGATGGCCGCAATCGTACTGGGGGCAGGGGGAAGATGGCTGAGATCATGCCCGACCCCCCCCCCGAGTGCACCCGCATTCGCACCCATCCCCCCCCCCCCCCCAGTGTACCAAGATGACAAGCAAATGCAGGAATGAGGGGCGCAATCGCAGTCGTGCTGGGGGGCAGGGAGATGACCACGCTCGTGCTCAGGTGCGGGCGGGAGATGGCCACAATCCTTGTTGTTCTTTGCCACTTTGTCTTACATTTTTCTGATTAAAAAAAAAACTTACAGAACAGATTAACCTTATTTACATTGAACCATAAGGGGAAATTTAACTTGGCTCATGACCAGTTTAGGTCATGGCCAGAGTCCTGGAACGGATTAAGTTCGTGAGCCAAGGTACCACTGTAGATTAGGTTACTGGAGGTGGAGAAGCTGTATTCTTGCTACCATAATGCAACCAGAAGCAGACTGTGGTAATGAACATCAGTCCTTAACTTCAAAAATCAGGATCAAGCAGGCACGTGCGCACACACATACAAAGACAGACAGAGCACCAAAATATAACTTAAGTAACATCCCAGAAGAATTTAAAGTTCACATAAAGAACAGATTTGTACTGCTCAACTTGACTATGAGCCTAAAGCACAGTGAACTGAAACCACAGACGAATGCCAAAAGGCAATCCCTGTAGTAAAAGGAAAGAAAACGGCTATACAAATGCCAAAACAAACTCTTGCACTTGAAAAGGACAGGTGAGAAGCAAAAGCAAAAGGTGACAGAAATAGAGTCATAACTTTTCAGTGGCTATGGTGTATCAACAGAAAGAATGATTACAAGTATCAGTGCAAAGAAATAGGAGAGAGCAATGAAAGGGGAAAAACAAGAGACTTCTTCCAGAAAATCAAAGAAATTAAAGGAAAATTCAAACCTGGGGTAGAAATGCTAAAAGACGAACAAGGGAACATACTCTCTGACCAGAAGAAAATATAGCAAAGATGGAAAGAATATATGTAAGTGCTATACAGAAGAGATGAAAGGTGACAGGCTTCTTCAAAGCAGTCATCTATGAAGAAGAGTCTACAATATTAGAAACTGAAATGGAAGCTGTTCTGAAACCATTTGAAAAGAATAAAGCACCTAGAGTAGACAGGATACCAATAAAATTATTCCAGGTTGCAGAAAACAAAACAGTCCAAATCCTAACAAAAAGAGGTCAACAAATATGGAAAACAAAACAGTGGCCTACAGACAGGAAACATTCAATATATATTCCAGTCCCCATGAAAGGAGAGGCAAAGGAGTGCAGCAACATAGGACCATTAAACCTACATTTAAGATTAAGAGCGAATTAATCTCCCACGCAAACAAAGTAATGCTTGAAGTGTGGCAACAAAGAATACTACCCTTTATCAAGTGAGAAATGCTAGACATCCAAGCTGGATTCTGAAAAGGAAGCTACCCTAGAGATCATATTGCAAATACACATTGGCTACTGGAGTGCACCGAAGAATTTCAGAAAAATTTCATTCTACGCTTTATAGTCCAGAGCAAAGCCTTTGACTGTCTGGATCATGAGAAGCTATGGATGCTCCTGAGAGAAAGGGGTGTGCCTCTGCACCTGACTGTCCTGATGCATAACCTGTACCCTGGACAAGAAGCTACACTCAGGACAAAATACAAAGAAGCAGAATGGCTTCCCATAGGCAAAGCTACCCAGACAAGGATGCAATGTATCTCCCTATCTGTCCAATCTATACACAAAACATATCTAAGGAAAGCTCAGTTAGAAACAGAGGAAGGAGTGAAAACTGCAGAAGAAATATCCATAATATAGGATATTTAGATGTTTGTTTCTTACTGGCAGAAAGCAGCAATGACTTGAAACGACCTGGGGGAAAATGAAAGAAAAAATGCAAAAGCAGGACTGCAGCTGAATTTTAAGAAATTCAAAAATAATTTCCACAAAAGAATTACTGAACTTTACCATGAATAATGAATAAATCAAGACTGTGAAAGATTTCACATACTTCAGCCCAGTCATCAATTCAAAGGGAGACTGCAGCCAAGAGCTTCAAAGAAGTCAGACTTGGAAAGGGAGCAATGAAGGAGCTAGAAAAGATCACCAAATGTAAGAACATTTCAGCAGAAACCAAGGTCAGGTTCATCCACACCTTTGTATTCTCAATCACAATGTATGAGTGTGAAATCTAGACAGAGAAGAAATCTGACAGGAAGAAAATTGATGCGTTTGAAACATGATGCTGGAAGACAGCTTTGTGAATACCCTGGACAGACAGAAAGACAAACAAGTGGATTTGTTTGTCAGACAAGACAAACACTGATCAAATCAAGCCAGAGCTTTCCCTAGAGGCAAAAATGACAAAACTGAGGCTGTTATACTTCAATAAATCATGAGAAGAAAACAATTGTGTTAAGGAACATTGAAGACAGAAGATGAAAAGGAAGACCAAATATGAGACAGATGCTGTACGATGCTGTATGGTGATATGAGATGGATTGAATCCATAAAGGAAGCCATGGTCTTGAACTTCTCTGTTCATAGGGTTGAAACAGGTCAAAGGCAACTTGATGGCACACAACAAACCTTAGTGTTCTATGTTTAAGGTAGATTATTATCATTATCAACTACAACAACAACATTTCTATAGCACCCATAACCAAAGCTCTCTGGGTGGTTTACAACAAAAGTAGTTTAAAGTAGGGTTACAAAGAATCTGTGGTTTGATTACTGGTGAGTTGCCTCAACATGATCTGATTCATTGTCCAGAAAGATACAACTTCACAATGGCTTAGAAAAACTGCCTGTGGAATTGCAGTTTTTCCACCCTTCCAGGAGACAACCCTTCTGGGAGGGCTTTAGAAACCATGGACAAGGGGAACAGGGCTTGCCTCCAAAAAGCAAGGGAGAGGGGATCCAAGCCAGATTCTTCCCCAATTCCTTTTAAGTAGTCTTATCCATTTGTGTGTGAAACTTGTAGATAAGACAACCAATCTGGTGTGCCTAATGAAGAGGGAGCAGGGAGTTAGTTTCTCCCAATTATACCTTCCTGTGTGTTCAGTTCTACACCAAAATAAACTAGAGGTTTTCAGAAGGGGAGTTGTTATGGTTTCCATGAATACCATCTTGCTCAGCTTTCTGTCCATTTGAGAATCAACCTAGAGTGTTTATATCTTGGTGTTGGACTCTCAGGTCACATTAGCAAGTCAGTGTGGTGCAGTGGTCGAGGTGCTAAAATGGGGGCCTAGAAGATCCGGGTTCTAGTTCTTACTCAGTGATTGTGGGCCAGTCACTCACTCTCAGCCTAACCTACCTGTAAGGTTAAAATGGAACAATGTAAGCCATCTAGGGTTTATCACAAGAGGAAAAATGAGTGGGATATAAATAGTGTGATGATGATGGATTCTGTTGATAAGACTGTTCACCTCCCTACCCAGTCTCCTTGCCTGAGCTCAGATTTGATACTGCAATTCCTCAGAACTGGGCTTCTTGAGGACTACAATAGCCATGTTATCATCACATTATCTTGAGCAGTTTAGAATTTCATGGCCACCATGGGGCTGTCTCAACGTGCAATTGGCAGAACACATGTAGCAAGTCACTCTCCAACTTTGGTCCACTCTACCAGACAGGAGGACTGTGGTGGGGGTGTTTTACACCTGTTCCTCTGCTATGGTCAGAGTATCTGTCTCGGGCTGAGATTTAGGCTTGGCAAGAGTGAAGGAACCTAGCAGGACATGCTGCCCACAGGGGTGAATGGACTGAAATTCCCCCAGAGAGCTTTGGGGGAATGTTCCAGTTGATATATTGGAAGCTCAGGTCCCTCTGTTGGATACACAGATGCCTCAGGGAGTTGACACAACAGCCCTTGAATGTCCCTCCCTGCCCTGCAGAGCTAGTCAGGTCCTTGGTATAAATGTGACCTAAAGGCATTAGGAATGCAGATGGAGAAAAACTTGGGTTTGGTTTCTAATGCAAATCAAATACAAGCAAGGACTCACTCCTGAGCTTACTTAATAGAAGTGATACAGGAAAGGAAGATCCCTTTCCTCCATTAGTGCATCCTCTCAGCATTATCCAGCAGTGCTATTCTAAAAGCTTGGGCCTTTTTTGGTTCTTGCTTAATAGAGTAGCCACAAGGAAACAGATTGCTGTGATTTGTTTGTACATTATTGCTGGTTTTACAATGCACATCTCCATATTCAGGGCAGCTCAATCCGTGAAAGCATCTGAAGAACCATATAATCAAGACAACATGGGATGTCTTTCTGGTTTTAATAACTTAGGGTAGGAAAAGTACTTGGGTTAAGCTCATTTGACCATTTTGTTGCTTAATCCTCATGCCTATCTTATTAGAATCAACTGGGTCAGAGAAGTTACGGATGCCTCTTTAAGGGAGGGAAAGGCCCCAGCACCCTTAAAGGAAAAAAATCATAACTCTACCTACGGGAGTTAAGCAACTATGAGCTAGTGGCAAATCTTTTTAATGTGTTCTTTTTTATCTGCTTTAACTTTTATTGTTCACTACAGGAATATAGAGCAGATTATAATTCTTGTTAAGCTACACTTATTCCCCACATTTCTTCCTCTTGCAGGGAATCTGAGGTAGCTTACAAAGTTCCGCTCCTTTCCATTTTATCCTCACAGCAACAATCCTGAGGTAGCTTAGGTCAAGAGTCCATGACTGGCTCGATGTCACCCACTGAGTTTCATTGCCAAGTGGATATGAGAAGCCAAGTCTCCTGAGTCCCAGTCCAGCTCTCTAACCACTACACGACACATAAATCTTGTGTGTATATAAATCAATAATGTCCCCTTTGTGGGTGGCTTTGCATGCAGCCAGCCAGGTCCAGATGCTACTGGATGGAAGTGATTTTCTGAAAACATTTAATTTGGGATTTAGGCTGATTATGGCAATGAAACTACTCTAGTTGTTCTGTTGGATGATTTATGCCAGGGGAGACACAAGGGATATGTCAACCTGTTAATCCTCCCCAAGTGTTCATAGGTTTTGATACTATTGACCATAGTGTCCCTCTGGAAAAGAGTGAATTGGAAGTGAGAAAGATAACTATTACTCATACAGAGAACTGCTTTTAGAAGATGGTACTGGGGGCATTGGTTTCTGTTCCACTCCTTGGGGCTCACTCCATGTTTGGGGCCCTGCAAGATTCCACTTGCCCTATTATAGGAAGCTGAGTACTTAAGTGTCCTCAATATACTGATGTTAGACAGCTTTATGATTCTTTTTCAATGAATCCAAGTGAAGCAATGGAAGTATTTAATCAGCCCCTGACCATGGTAGCAGACTGAATAAGAATCAGAATAAAATTCAGCCTGGATAAGAAGGAGATACTATTGGCAGATAGATCACTTTTCCAGGGAAGAGGTGTTTACCTGCTCTGAAAAGGGCTGTACACTTCCACAAGGATCAGGAAGTTATTTTAGTGGTGCCTGCAGATCCATCTCTGCCAGTGTTTTCTGTTGTATGAGCACCTAAATCAATTTAGACTTGTAAGCCAGCTGCACCCCTACCTGATGTCAGCCTGGCTTCAGTGCTCTATACTTTACTAATGTCCCATTTGGATAACTGAAATATGTTCTATGCAGGGCTGCAGCTGAATCCTGTTTGGAAACTTCAGCTCATACGCAAGGTAAGAACACTGACTAGAACCTAGCACTATGCTGTTTTGCTAGGCAGTATGGTCCCACCATATCATCTCACTTGCTTCCATCTCAGCCCTAGACTAAACTCTAGTTGACAGTTTCATCCTATATAGCTCTCCATGGTTTAGAGACACAGTATTGGAAGGATACGTTTTCACATATTTCTGCCTCAGCCCTGTGAACGGAGGCCCGGGTCTGCATACCCTTGCATACTGAAATTTAACAGATGCCCACTTGTGAATATGCAGGCATCCCCGCAACTGTGAAATATCTTCCATACAGAAATCTGCTGGGGACCAGCATTGTTGCTCATCTGGCATCAGGCTACGTCTGATCTTTTAATATATTAAACGTTTTACTGTCAGTTGCATTTTAAAGTTGCATTTCAGAATTGTTTCCCCTCAATTTGATATGTTTCAGAACTCTGCTTTTGTTTTAATATGTCATCTCTGTATTACTGCTACACTTTATTGTATTTGATTTTTGTTTATGTTTTACCTATTTGATTTCACTAAGATCAGGAGCAACTCACTACAAGGAAGAAAAACAAACTGCCTGACGTAAGACTGCAGCAAACATGAACTCTGTACTCCTTTGCACACCCAATGCAACTACGACTGTCTTGAGTGGACAAGCAATCTGCAAGACACAGTCCAAATGAGGGCTGGAGGGATGCTATGGGCAGCTGGTATGCCCCCATGTGAACTGAGTGCTGGACCAGATGGAGCACTGCTCTGATCCAGCATGGCTTTGCTATGTTCTTATTCAGACACATTAGACGTATTTACAAGGAGACAAGCCAAGAGCAAGAGAGAGAAACTCCTTGCACATTTTAAAACATGACTTCTGGAGCACTCTTGCCTCCTGCAGAGGCAAGCCAGGTTTTGTTACTGTATTTAAAATGACACTTACATGCCTAGCCTTGACCAGACCTTGTCGCTGCTGACACTGCAGCCGGTTGCTGCTTGGCTGTTGCTGTGAAGTCTGCATGTGAGGTCTGAACTGGGACGGGGCGACCGGAATTAGGGGCTGCGGCGGCACAGCCAGGAGGTGGTGCTGTTGCTGGTGTGGTTGATGCTGCTGGTGGTGCTGCGGCGGCTGCGGATGCTGCGGGTGCTGCTGCTGCGGGTGCTGCTGGTGCTGCTGCGGCGGCTGCGGGTGCTGCTGATGAGGCTGCAAAGGTGGATGCAAGGGACCCTACGTGTTTTGAAAGACAACATGTGTGTGGCAAATGCAGAAAAAGCCTGCCCTTACATGCTCAACCTGCTAGGCAGCTAATGACATTTAAGTTTGCATGCCACATCCACTACAACTACAGAAAAGCCATGTGTTAACAGCATCACCCAAGGCAGTCAAAAGTGTGCTTAAATCAATTTACATTTTAAAAAGAGCTGTTCTCTTTTTTAAAGAGTATGAGAGTTTTGACTATTTTCTGAATGTATTTTATAACAACGGAGGTACACATTTTATCTATTTATTTTTTAAAGCTTAAGAAAAAAGACTGCATGCTGACACTACATTCACTAGTATCACATGAAAGACAATTACACCAGCAGAGGGTGCTCTAACCTTTGAAGTGACCCAGCATCTTCTCTAGATGCAGGCTTAATCTACTCACTACACAGGAACTTGTTTTTAAACAATAGATTATTTCCGTATTTCTTCCGGAATAAATCAATTTAGGAAGCCATGGAATATTGGACAAAATGTTGCATTACAAACTTTTCTAATCTCATTAGCTGTGAACAGCTTCACAAAAATCAAAGTAGTTTAATATCTTTACTCTGAAGGACTACACTGATAGAAACTTGCCACTAACCTCATAATTCAATTAACACCAGGCACAGGGGGAAAGCCTGTTTTCATACTTGGCACAGCAATAAAAGACACATTTAAATTTTGTCTACATCTGTGACATCTATCCAAGCAAAGTTTGGTGTACAGGAGAGCTTCCCTGGTGTTGAGCTTAAACAAAAAAAAAATGGTCTGAACCTCTTTAAGTGAAGCAAAGAATCACTTGCACAAAATCATTCCTTTCTTAAGCAAAGAGCCAGAACAATTGAGGGGAGAGGTTCTGTCGCATGTTTGTTACATGCTTTGAGATCTCTAAAAGGAGTGGGCAAAAATACATGGAAAAAAACTGGGTATCCCTTTCCTAAGCATCAGGTAAAATGATTACCATGCTCTTCACAGTGACTGAAGGATGGAACATCTGTATTCTGCCCTACAGAGATGCTCACAAAACAATAAGAAGGATGTTCCTCTATTAACTGCACAGGAGAGCATACCATAATAGCTTTAGCCTGGATTGCCAAGCGTATGTTAACACATTATGGTTTCATACCTGCATGCTGGGCTGCGTAAGAGTCGTTAAGAATGGCTGCCCCGGAACTTGCAGGAATGACTGCCTGGGCGGAAGGAAGGGCCGTGCATTTGCTGCTCCAGGTTGGTTGAAGTGGAGGACTCCCACTGGGCCTGGAGGCTGAATATTTGGCCTCACCAGCCTCTCTCTGGGAAACATGGGCTGCTGCCCCTGCTGATTAAAACCTGGTCCAGGCTGACTGAAAGGCAGTGGATTTTGAGTGGGAACAGGATGGGTGCTGTTGAGGAGTGGCGGTGGCGGTGGCGGTGGGCTCCGCTGTTCAAACAAAGGATGGCTGGGGAATCTTGGATCTGCCAAAGGAAAAAAAAAGCAGAGTCAGGAAACCAACCTGTCCGTAAGCCAAACTGTACAGCCTTCACATACCCACACACCTGCTATAGATAAAGAACAGACAGGAAGCTGCCATATTAAGTCAGACCATTTCTCAAGCTAGTCCACTCTGGTAGTGGCTCCCCAGGAACTTCTCCATCTCCTCTACCTGATCCTTTCAGCTGGAGAAGCCAGGTGAAAAGCATGCTCTGCCTCTGAACTAAAACCTCTCCTTTGCAAATATTTCTGACACATTTGTATGGCCACACAGATACTCCTGAAAATGGATGTTTGTGTTCCTATACCACCCTGCAAGTCTTAGGTGTCTGGGGGTGAAAAGCACTGGTTACTCGGTGGATTAGAAATGCAGTAAGTAAATGCTCAGAGTAAACCAGTGAAGGCCCCCAGAGCCTGAAGTGCTACTTAAAGCAAGACCACCACCTCTGGTCAACTTACACAAGGTAAACAGCCCCATCAAGCAGAGATACCAATGTCTCCCATACAGATTCATGGAGGTTATTAAGAAAGGGAAATCCACTTGCAGTGAAATTCCATTAGTTTTTAACTGGAAGCTATCAGGAGCAGCAATGGAACTATTTTCACACAATCCATTCACTTGGAATTCAAATTCCACATACCACAACACAGCAGACATCCAAGCATGCATCTGAAAACTTCCACCACTCTGTACCATCCATAACCTGCCAGCCAACCTGAGCCAGTACTGCCTTCTTACCAACTTACTGCAATAATGTATTGGCCAGTTTTAAAATACAGGGCTAAACACTGACAGAGCATTAAATCAGCAGTGCTTCTGTTCAAAGAATTAGTATCTCATCACTGAAACCTCAACTCCAAAGAGTGGAGGAACTGGAACCTTTTAGAGTGGGCTAGAGGAAGCAGATGGGAAAGGTCTGGCTCAGTAGTTAAAGGGCAAACAATCATCTCCCAAGGAAGATGGAAGGAAGGCCCCTCCCTCTGGTGTACAAGAGGACATTACCTCCCATGAAGAAAGGCTCTCTGTCCTGTGGAGGTGGTGGCGGCAGAGGCGGTGGTGGCCCTCGCCACTGATCCTGGAGGGAGAGTCTTGGGGCTTGACTGAAGTTGGCAGGAACAGGGCCAGGAGGGTTCTGCTGAAAATCAGGAGGGCCCTGAATAATACAAGGCAAAAACAAAACTAATGAAGATGATCTTCAAACAATTTTTCCACACCCCATTTAGAATACCCTCTTTTTAAAGAGCAAAACATCTTCCTATAATCTGTGACAAATTAGCAACCCAGCCAAGTCATACCTTCCACTGAGACACTGAACCTAGGCACAGTATCTTTACAATGAATTCAAAATGTTTTAATAATCACAGGAGCACCACAGGAATGCCATCGCTTCTCAAGCTTACAGAAATCCATGCAATTATTGACCTTCTATCCCATTAATCCAAAAGTCTGAATGTCTACTTTAGAAAACGCTCCTGACATTTATCTCTTTAAACCATGCTATTCTTTGCTATCTATTTAGTACAACCTAAGCAACCAAAATGAAGCTACTTTAATTTTCTGGATGTCATAAATTGATTTTTCCCCATTCTAAAGTAAAGAAATCATATTTCAAGAATAATAGGGAACCAACATTTGACAAAGCACATAACCCTAAATACTTAAGCATCTGAAGCATTCATTACAACAGAGATATGAAAAATTAACATAGATTTACCACCCTCAGTTTTAAAGAAATGCATTACAGACTGATATAATATTCAGTTATTTCACAATCAGCAATGGAAAGAGCCATTTAAAATTTAAGCTTTGTAATTGATTTTCCCCTCTTAGGTTCTGTGAAGAAACATGCCTTATGATCTGTTAAGACAACAAGAACCATTTCTCTCTCTCTCTCTCTCTCACACACACACACACAATTAAATTAAAAGGAAGTGACGATAAGATATTGTAATAACTCTTCCTAAGAAATGAACTGCTAAGGAATAAACATTTGCACTCCCACACAAGCTTCATACCAGTTCCTCTACATTTCAAGAGACTACATATTCCTGAAGCAGATTTCACAGGACACACCTATGCAGCAGTTGGGGTATTTTCAATACTACTTGGAACTGTCTTCCATAGAACGGTCCCCCAGATAATTTTCTTCAGTTGCTGAAGAGGCTTTCATTGTAACACTGCAATGTATTTTTTTCAAGGTCCACAAGATCCTTGTACCAGTGAGTTAGGGCAGAATGGAACATGTCCCAGTGCCTTCTTTTTCTGTGGAAATTTTTCCATTTCATAAATTTCTTAATAAAAATGAATGGCTGACAGCTGCAAATATACTAGCCAAATTTGGTACTTCAAAGTTGTACTTGAGTAGTTGTCAGGGCACAGTTCTTGCAGCTGTTAGAACTAATTAGTTTCAACAGTTTTCAGTACCTTTGCTCTTATCTAAATGTAAGCAATCTAAGAGAAGGGCATCCAATTATGTATAAATTCATTCCAGTAAAAATTTATACTACATTTAACATAAATTACAATCATTTTCATCCAATATTTCAGGTTAGATATATATGGTATATTGGGACAAAAATTAAACATGGGTAGTTTTTAAAGGTTTGTATACCACATGTAAGCAGTAGAATAAATGTTCTATATTAAATAATTTTCTAAGATGGGGTGGGGAACTGCTGGCTCTTCAGGTGCTTTGACCTACAACTTCCACCAGCCCTATCCAGCAGTCACTAACAAGGTAGGATGGGAGCTATAGGCCAAAACAGCCAGAGGGCCCTGGTTCAGGCCCTGGTCTAAGATACTACAGAAATCCAGAAATAAATTGACCATTCTCCAAGGCAAATTACCCTATGCAAATTAGCTGAATTGAAACAGGAAGTTTCTCCTATCTCAGATTTTCTGGAAAGCCTACATCGCTGTCTTGTACCCCGGTCTAATTTGCTTCTATATTAAATAATTCTCCTTAAGACACACTTGAGGCTTCGAGGATGACCTTTGAGACTGCAGATATAAAGCCTCTGCAAATGATTAAAGGACAATTCCCCGCATGTACAGAGCAGTGCCAAAGGTTCTTGCTCCCACGTATTATCCTGTATGCAGGAACAACAACCTTTGCCATTGCCAAAAGGCAACTCACATCCAAAGGCAAGGAGAGGCCACATCCTTTGCTCTGGGTCTCTGCCTCTGATCTGACCCTAGGCTTAGCTGCCACAGAGTAGCAGCACACCGAATCAGGCTCTTAATAAATGTATGTACACCAACACTACATAAATTGGTTCTGTTAGTCCAGCTACATGTTTTTCCCTATAAATCTACATTTAATGATCAACTAAATGCAAATTTAGGTTGCAAGATGGATTAATAGCAGCTGAACTTTTGAGTTCTCGCTGTATAGCACACACACTATATTCAGTGCTGCAGCTTTTCTGGTTTCTAAATGTTTTAGTTTTACAGAATATTTTTTAGTTTTATACATTTATGAAACTTGGTTCATGGCCCAATCACTTCTCTTTCATTATTAAAATCCCCTTTTCTTTCATATCAGATTTTGAGAACTCCAGACACAACATCCCAATTGCCTAGTGCAACACATACAGTACGCATGAATTAAAGGTACATTTCATTCACTGAGGGTGGGGGATAAAAGCACAGTACATGCTTTAGACTGTTAGTATCACTGAGTCCAGGGATATACCATGTATAAAACTACAGTCACAGTTAAGGGGAATGAAAAATACAATATAATATCAGTATATTAGATTACTTTTCAAATTCGAAGCCAAGTGATTTTTCTTCAATGGATATTTAACTGTGAACATTTTATTCTCTTCATTAAGTATCAACGTGTTTTGTCAGAACATTACTTTTATGCCTAGGCACACAACAAATGCCTACAAATTCAAGACGAAGCAGCATACAGAAAGGCACAGAGTAATTCCAGAGATACATAATGTTTCTCTTTTTCATGGTTTTGAGTAGCCAAGCAGCAAGATACCAACCTGTAAGAAGCATTCCTTTGTAAACAGGCAATACTGATCTTAATTCCTTATATGGCCTAAATCACAGCACTGAAAGAGTAGGTTCTGGAATAATGCATTTTGGAACTTCGGGGTATTCACTGCCATATTAGACAATATCACTACCTAAACTGAGAAGGCTCATAACTTTGTAGAAGAATGCATATGAGGCTTCAACCAAAGACAGGCAGGTACTTCCCCTGCCCCACAACCTCAGCACAGTCTATGTTACTCTCAGACCACTTCACCAGGCAGGTGAACCAGCAGGAAGGCTATGTGCATGGCACCATCTTACAGGTCTGGCTTGCTGGAAACTACGCAACCATAAGTTTAACTAAATTTACTACAGGACATTCACTTTAGTATCTTTATAGAGTTGGAAGGCTATAACCATCTTATGCCCATTTAAAGTGAGACAACTTTCACAGAATTTTACATTCTGAGTGGCACATCTGAAGATTCACAGGGCTCTGTACACACTCTCTGCAATCCTTACAGCAACACTTTATTCAATTAGCATTATCTCCATCAAAGAGGATGCAGGCCAGAGCACAGTTCAGTTGAAAGAGGTGGCACAGGATATAAGATTTGGCCCGTAGGACCACTTACAGTTGGACATGACTGAACAGCTGAACAACATTATCCCCATACTGCAGTTGTGGCAGTTGAGGCCAATAATTGGGGCTTGCCTATTGGCTAGCCAAGTGCCCGACCCACTAAGCACCATTAACTCATTCTTTTTATATTTATTTCCATGATGCACCATATCAAAGAACATGGGCGCTGGCAATCACTTTTGCAAAATCCCAATGCTTAACTTCTGTCTACAATTTGTTCTAGAGATCTAAGAGCTCATTGAGCATGACTTCCACATACACAGGCTATCCAACTTTCTGAAAGAACACAAGATAACATTACCTTAATCCTGTCAGAGAATTACACTAGTTTGCTTTGCTTTTTATCCTCTCAAATATCCTCCCTAGTTAAGAAATTAACATTCTCTCTCATACAATTCTTACACAAATTGTACTCTTACTTTTCAGCATCTCTTGTTAATTACATGATGTTATCTGTTATAATCTATTCATGAACTGCAGATAGGTTTGGCTACCAATAAAAGAGAAAACTTAGCATAAATTGCTTAGCACAACGTTAATCTTATAAAGAAAGGCAAAAGAGGATCTAACAGCTATTATATGGACTTATCAGCTTTCCTAAAGGGTCACTCTATACTTTTTTCAAACAGACTAATTAATTACCTTAACAATGTCACTGAAACTTCATGAAGCTTTCAATAAATTAGACCCTGTCTTTACAACATGTTTTCATTTATTAATCTCACTTAAAATGCAAAGAGGCTAGAAAAATGCTTCTGACACCAAGGTGGAGATACTCCATTAATTCTTATTAAAAATGGTATAAATGCAAAGAATCAGTGATTACTGTAACCTATGACATTATTAAAACTATACCCATCTGTCATAAAATTTTAATCCTCTTACTTAAGCAGCTAGTGAATTTTACCTTCCCTTGGATAAATGACCTTAGTTCAATTCAATCACCGCAAGGTAAGATCTTTGTGGAAATAGATCACACAGATGCCTCTAATGTAAGACTGACTCTACAGCCATCACATTCTCAGCAAACTATTTCTAATGCCAGATGCATGCTGGCCTTGGAATTAACTTCATGATAGAGACCTTCATCTGACCAAGCTTTGCACCAGTTAGATATGCAATGGGAGTAAAAAGGGAAAACAAAGCATTCAGCCCTCAGTTCTTATGCACAAATGTTGTTTTAATTCAAGATGCTTGTTCTCTGCATTTACAAGAAAATCTTCAAACCACCCAATGTAAAATAAAAACCTCCAGACTCCAAACGGAGTTTCAAGGGGAGGGTGATCAGCTGGAAAGCCCAACAGTTGCTGCACTAGCGAGGAACAAGCAAGCTGTGACAGCACACAAGCTGCACTCACAGTGGATATTTTAATGGATAATTTATTCTGCAAATTGTTTTGAATTCACTTTATAAAATGGGAAAAGAGTATATCGCTCTACAGTAATTTTAGGGAAAATGTCTAAAGTCAATCTGTTGCAAAATATTTGTGCTTGAATGCTGTTCGTGAAAAAGAACATAG